CCTACGGAAATCTCTTTATTTTATCCACAAATACACATTTTTATATTCTCTGCATGTTTTCCTACCTCTGCTTAGTTGGTTTGCTCTTCTTGTGGCCTTTTCCACTGCGAAAGTTTGTGGCCTCCCTCATTCTTTCCCTTGTAAAAGTTGAGGGAGTAGCAGTGGTAAAAGGGTCCAACATCAGTCACGTTTATTTCATATTTTTCCTTTCCACTTTACCTTATAAGCTCTCATCTTTTTGCCTCATTCTCTAGGATTAGAAGACCACTTTTGTTAGATTTATTAAAATCACTTTCCCTGTAACTCAGATATTTGGGAATTTCGATGTTGCATCTGTGGATCTAGTTGAAAGTCACTGTTTGAGAATCAGCAATAAAGGCAATGTGCAGTCGTTGTAGGGTGAATGATTTTATCTAGATCCAGTTTCAGGCTGCTTCTTCAGTATTCTCTCCAAGAAGCTAGTACCCATACGTGCAAACCGTGTCTGACCATTTGTTACGTAAGGGAGTATTGTCTGTGCAAATTACCCCCCCTTGGGTTTGATCTATTTTTATCCAAATTGGAAATATTACTGGTAAGATTTATCATCAAGTTTATATTATTTGAATTTTGCTTCCATAAATAAGTACAGCTGCTTTTTGTAAGTGAACATGTGTATATGTGTAATAGTTAAATCGGGATGTCCGTCTCACGTGACCTGCAGGTAACAACTAAGGGAGCCTGGTAGACTGGGAAACTAGTGTAGGTCAGGCTTGCCTTCAGGCACACCTGTTCAAAAGCTTGAAAAGCATTCTGCCTGCCAAGCTACCTTTATTCTGAAGATGGTCTGTTTTGTAATCCTTGATTTGAATTCTTTAGGGATTAGACATTTATAAAAGTATAACAATACTAAATGCTATGGTTTTATTTTGAAGTCATCTGTTACTTTAAAAGTAAAATACAATGAAACTTCAAAAAGTTCATGGAAAAATGGGATTATTTAAAAATTAAGTTTTAGGAGCTCTCGTATAAGAATCAGGAAGTTCTGTAAAGATACTCTGAAAGCTAGGTACTGTGAATTCCTCTTCATCTAAAGTATTCTAAAATAACTGACTAGCACTTTTTTTTTAATGAACTGAGTGAAATTTTCCTGATTATGAATTTCTTAAAAATTATTTTTTAATTGAAATTACCAGTATGGTTATTTGTATTCTTTCTTGTATACTGGCTTCTGGTTTTTCTTAAAACTTCAGATAAACCACATTTTAGCTCTAGTGTAAACTTGAAGTCGTTAAGAATGGCAGACATTGATGTAGAAGCAGCATATATTAGTCTGGCTTGCTGTATGATGATGGTCTAATGGAAGTTTCATAGCTTTCTTTTGTCCTCAGAAAAGTATATGCCAGAGTCCTGCAGTGTTTATTTAACCACAAATTTTATCCACTTTAATATGTTTACAACTTATGCAAAGCAAAAAGATGTATAATTATAGTGAGCAAAATATAGTTTTGTTCACATTATCTGACATTTGCCAAAAAAGAATAAAAGATAAATGAATTAAATCAACACATTTGTTCAAATTGTCATTCTTTAACTATTAGAATTTAAAAACAAATTGTATTTTGCTTTAGACTTTTAATCTAGCCTTTGCTGTTTTGTTTTTTCTTTCTTTCTTTCTTTTTTTTTTTTTTTAACATTTTATTAGGGGCTCATACAACTGTTATCCCAATCCATACACACATC